ACTTCACAGGATAAGAGACACCAAAGTGTTTTTTTTCTTGGCTAATGATGCTAGAAACTGGAGTTAATGTTAACAGAAGAAGAAATCTCAGCAGAACTCTGTAAGTTCAAAGCAGCTGAGGATGTAGCTTTTTGACATGTCGTGTGCTGTACTATCAGGAAAAAAAATCTTGATTAGAAGAGGTTTTTCTTCATGACTAATGAATTCCTGACGTCTAGATGTACTGAAAACAAGTATGTGTGGCTGTTCCTGATAGTTACAGGTGGTGTGCTGAGATGTGTTCCAAGGCCCCATAAATACACAGACTTTGTCAGCAGCAGCAACTTCAATTATCTGCAAACAGGACTTCGATATTCTGAGAAATGAGTTCAATACCATATTAACACACAGTTTTCCTCTGAACTATTCCATACTCTGAATGCACATTAGCATGTGTCACCTACAGTTTTCCCAGTTTCTTTAATTTCTCCTGCCACCTTGCTTTTATGTGTTGCCTCCAGGGGAAAACCAGCACTTCTCTTTTTTCTTTCCTACTTATTCTTCCCCAACAGGTAAATAAGATTGCTTTGCGTGGGATCCCTAATGAAATGTTAAGAGCAGTAAACCCAGCAAAAGAGAGACATGTGTATGTGACCACAGGATCATTTCCTGTATCATTAAAGAAAATAAGATGTTTCAGAACACAAAAGAATTTTCATTCATGGGAAAAATTAATGTGTTTTTGATACTACACATGCCATCTTTTAATTGACATTCCTCCAGACACCATACAGACCACAATAAATTCCTTCTTTAATTAAAAATAAGCTAAAAATTAAATTGGGGGATCTACAATTCTTTCAAAGTTATCATATGGCCATATAACAAGTAATATATATGTTAAATAATCAGAAAACTGTGAAACCATAATCCCCTTCTTTTAAAGCTAATAGCTGTTACCATTTCATAACCATAGTCTTATAGCTCCAACATTTACACAAAAATATTGGAGTCAATAAAGGTTTCTGGGACTCAAACACTGACATTTGAATTTCAAAAGAACACCTGCATGAAATTATAGTGCTGTTACCACTATGGACCATATACTTTCGCCTCTTCAGAAATAAAGGGATCAGCTTACACTAAATAACAGCTTGGGTTTAAAACATCACTAATTCCCCAGAGTTCCTCACTAACTACTTTTTTACCCTTGCCCATCAAAAGAATGCTTAATGAAAGAAAGATACTAAGAATACATAAATACATGAGCATAATCCTTGGAGAATGCATTCTTTCCAGGAGACTGACAATGCAGGAAAGCAGGTTTGTTTGCTGTAAGAAGAAGCTTGCTCCAGACAGACCCATGTCAAATAAAACACCAATATCAGAGGTGAAATCATCTCAAACACATCTCCAGAAAGAAGTCAAATCCGAGCTGGGTTACAACAGTCTGTGGAGCAGAACAGTGCTCCCAGTTCACTGTACGGAACCTGCACAGCAGCTAAAACTTCCTGGCCACTGCAGCTGAGTGCCCAGAAGGTACTTGGGCTGAATCCATGGCTCTCTGCAGATTGAAACATATGTCCTCCAACATTCACCGGGGAAAAAGCTGACAGCACAGTAACTCACTGGAAAAATATGAGAGCGTGTTCTGCAAAACTTATTTAAGAAAACTAGAACAAATGAAGTCACTCACATTCACGCTTTACAAAGCTATAAAGGGAGATGCAATCCCTGCAAAAGCAACTGTGTTAAATCCTATTTTTTCCAGTCTGAACCCGACAGACAACTGCAGAAATTTAGCAGTGCTCTGCATGTCCTGCCAGTTGAACTTCTCTGTAGTGTGACAGTTCAGTGAACTCAACATTTCTGTTTGGACGTTTAGCATTCTCTTCTCTGCATCACTTTCAGCGTGTGCATTTTTGATTACTTCCTACTGGGCAGTAGCAAACACAGCAGCAGAATGCAAGGGCCAGAGCTGGCAGCCCTCGGGTACTTGCCATCTCTCTCAGCAGGTGTTTCACAGAATTTATTTTACAAGAACATTAGGCAAACCACCTACAAAGAGACTTACAGAAAGCTTTTTAGCTAAAGTAGGATCAATAACAGAAAATGCTTATGTCCCAGTGGTCTTTCCATCTAACCTGCTTCAAAGGGAACGTGGACAAAAGCTTGTTCAGGTAACACAGCCTCCCCATCTCTGCCAGCCCCACTCACTTTGCTGTCATCAGAGATCCTTATTTACAGTCATGAGCACTATTACGGTCCAGTTTGGCAAAGCATTTAATTATAATCTAACCTTTAAAACAAAACACTGGGGTATTATGTGCTTAAGGAAGTCAACAAAGCCTGCCACAAATGTAAAAAATACAAGACTTGATCCTGTTTCAGTTATTTGTGATACTCAAAAATAGCTGTTAAGAGACAACATAAAAAAACAGCCGAAGAATAACAGAAGTATTTCTAACTCCGTGAATATGTCTATAAATAGAGTAGGGACAATAACCATGAGTCCCCAGACAGACCACTGAAAGGGCACTGGTTGCAGGGCACTGCACAGATGAATGTTCCAGGCTCAGAACAATTCCATGTGAGAAAACCATGACCTTTACAGAATTTAACTGGTAAAATTTTAAATGGTAAAAATATAAGGACTGGATACAAGTAATGAATTACATTCACAGAACATTCATTAATGTTGACCCTTATGGTCAAAACCATTACAAAAACTAAACTCTTTTCATACCTATAGTTACAAATAGCCCTTAAAAGCCAAAAGTATATAAACTCCAATTATTAAACTGGTATTTTTTTCCTTCAATATCTATCAGCTTTCAACAAAAAATGAGAACTGGGAGTCTGCTTTGCCAGCTACAA